GGAGATTTCTATGCCTGAGTCTTTTCAAGTCTAAGTCTAGGTATCCTCAGCCTAGCTGATGGCACTGAATGCAGTGGCACTGTATTACATAAACTGAAATGTGCCAAGTAATGCAAAATCTTGACATTCAGGATTGTATTTTCCTGTTCCTGCTCCTGTGGTTTTATCACATTGGTATTTTCATGCATAATTGACACCCCGAGCCATAGATGTATGCCAATACCCAATTCTTCTCAACATCTTCCCAAATAAAGCAAGTTTTCCACTTCCTACTCAGCAGATGTTTTAACAACAGAAGACAGAAACCAAGAAGATCTAGAAGTAAAGTGCCAAGCCAAGGAAACTGGTAGCTGCAGTATTTGCGTTTGGCAGTAAGCAGCACAAATATCATTTGTCTAGTAGCACAATGCTATACAAGGCAGAGAAGACTTTTGAGAACTCCCCAAGCTTTTCCTGTCACTGTCAGCTAGATGGTCTGTGAAGCTCTTGAGTTTCATAAACACTACTTGACCTCGCTGTCTTAGTGCTCAAGTGACCCAACACCAACTTCACCTCAGCAGTTGAAGGCATTCACATTACCCCTTGTTTTCTTACAGAGTGTAAGAAAACATTACTCCTTTTTTGTTTTCTTACCCACAGTATGTTTTCTTCAACAGTGAGAATTGTTCCTGGAAATACCAGCACAGCACATACATCCCACAGTAGATAATTGTCCTTAGAGGCCACAGGTACTGCACTGGTATCCCAATTCCCGAAAGCATATTCACTTCCAAAGGTTTTTAGCCTTTCCCTTGCACCTTCATCCTGAACTTCCCAAAAAGACTTTCTAGTCCTCCCTCCCAAGAATTCTCTCTTCATCTTCCATCCGACTGTCTGACCTATGCAGCAAAATCCTCTGGTCTTGGCATTCCACAGCACTGAATCTGTGAATTCTGGTGCTACATCCCTTTGCTGTGAGGTCTGTCATGCCCATCTCTTGAGTTTGCCCCACATACTAACCCAGATCCAAATGGGAGGTCACCATGTGTCTCACAACTTCATGGTCAATAACTTTCTTGCAGTAGACTGGGGAGATGGTTCTAAAGCATGGCCATTCATGGGGGATACCAGTGCTTCAGGTATAAAACTGAGTTTACTAATATGAAATCCCTGATACCCAGTATTTGAACTGCAGAAATTATATTGTTAATTGCCAGAGCCTTCAACTTTTTTGGGAAAGTCACTAACCGGCAACACTAAATAGCTTTTTAATCCCTGAAAAACATTGTTTTTTTACTACCCCATTTGTATATTCATATACACAGTTACATTGCCCATGCTATTGGCATTCCCCTATTTCTCCCACTCAGCAGCTCAGCCAACACAGTCTGCAGTTCACTGTGGTGGCCTTGCTAGCTAGCATTTAAAGGGCTGGTTACTCACTAAACTCTAACAAGACCCATGCGTGGCAGCAACGCTTAGGTCCCATGCACTGCATGGAGTGGCTGCTTGGAAGTACAGAGTTAGCCTGTTCTAGTGGCTGAGGAGCAGTTACCTTCAACAGCAGTGACCATTTTAAAAACAAGTGATTTCCCTTGCTCCCAGGTCTTCAAAAGGGAGGTCTGGCAGTTAAAGAGATGAATAAAGAGGGATGTATCATCTGTACCCATAACTTTCTTTTCATCTGGTTCATGGAATTGTCAAGCCAAGACTTCCCTGAAAGCCTCTCTAGGTCAAAACAAATGTTGTTTCAATTTGTTACAGCCGTAGATGTCTGCTTTTGGAGAGACCTTGTAAGGTTATCTAAGCTGAGTGCCAAGAAAACTCATGTCTGGAGATGGACCTGCAGCTACTGCATTCATTTATTCTTAATCATACTAGAATCACTAGCAGATCTCCAGCTTCTTTATGGATGCAAAAAGTGCCAACAGTTCCTGCTGCCCATCACCAGCTTTTTGATGGTTATTCACCTTGACACTGACTGAGCTTTGAATGAAAAAACACAGGAGAGTATCCACTGAACTGTAGTATTCACACACTAGTAAATTTGGAGAACTATTCCTTCTCAGTAAGATAGCTTTCATATTTGTTGTTACTGATAAGAAAGTAATTGTCTTCCACAAATCGCCAGTTAAAAAAAAAAAATCTTGATTATTAAAATTGTGACTCTTCAAAAGCGAATTTTACAGAGTTCAGGATTTCTCAGAGCCCTAAGTATTAGGATTTTGTTACTAGTTTAAAGAGAACAGAAAGACTTTTTCAATATAGCACACTTAAAATGCAAGAAACACAAAAGAAACAGACAATGAGAAACAGAAAAAATTTAAAAAAAGATAAATAATCAGGCAAGACTCACAGGAAGACTATGACATTTACCTATCCTGTCGGGACAGAGATATTTTTGGTTTCCATCTTTTCATAGAATCTTCCCAAGAGAGGACTACAAAAAGTAAGAAATGAGCAGTGACAACTGATGAGCCTTGTTTCCGTCATGAGGTTTTTATCTTCTATGACGCTTAGCAGTCTTAGTAGATGAGCAGCAAAGACAGTGGAGGTAGTCCATTATCTGCTTTTGACATCATTTTGCATTGTTAATCCACTATTCATATAACTGCAAGCAAATATTTTCCTCAAGTGGATAGGCAGCAGTGACACAAAAAATAGAAGTCCCAAAAGACATAGAGGATTAAAACACTATTAAGATTTATCCTTCCTAAAAGGAGTCAAGGGTCATCAAATACAGAGTTGCAGACACATAATTATGCTGAGTTAGATTACCAGAAGCAAGTAGAGCATAAGATGCAAGGGATCACTACATAACTTCCTTACATAGACTTTCCAAGGCTTCCCACCAGACATATGGTGTTGCTAGAGACAGGATATTAAGCCAGATGGAATTTTAATCTAATATATATTCCAATATTGTCATCATTTGAGGTGAAATTTGATGAAGTGCCCAACGCAAAGCAAAGCATGGGCAGTCCTCAGCAAAGCATTTGGGACAGAAAATTGCATGAAGGTGCAGTTCATTCTCTCTTTTGTTCTAGCCTTTCTCACAGAGGCTTAAATATTTAGCTAGATGTAGACACTGGTGACATTCTCAGTGAGGGAAACTTTCCAGTGAAGTCAGGAATCACCAACTGCAATTGGCATCATTAGGTGGGCCACAAATGTCACAACCAACACCTAAGTTGTCTTGGAAGGTGGAGGTGTGTTTCAGTCCTGAGACTCAGTGGGGTTTTCAGTTTCCTCACTGAAACTGCGAAGAAATAAAACCTATAAAATAGTGCTGACTGTGGTGACAAGCTTCTTGGGGCATTAAGTGCAGGGAACCCCCTCTAAACTAATTCTTTAAGCAGGTCATCTTCAATGTCTCGAGGCTAGACCTAGATTTGGGTTGACAGCATTGTGCTGGAAGTCTCCATGATGTATTGTCACAGCACAACTCTCTGTTATTTATGTCTACTGGCACTTGAATGTTGCAGCCAGGCTTCCAGGCGGGAACATTTCCCTCTGTGCCCACAGTCCTTCTGGCACAGCATGCACTATGGCCAGCTCCAGATGGAGGCACACTGTGCATTGCTTGTTCTGTGGTCATCAAGTGCAGAACACCTCTGAAAACATAGCAAGACTCCCTCCATGCCAACAGTCTTGTTCCTGGGTTGCAACACTGGGACCCGACCAGCAGAGCACAATGTGGAAAGCACCTGCCCACTTTACAGATAAAAATTACCAGAAAGACAGTATATTCATACCTTGCAAGACATCAAAATACCATCCAAAAGACCTTTTTCTGTTCCTTTTCAGACTGAACCAGACGACTCTGCATTTATGTTTGACCTTTGTTATTCTTAAATACACTTTTTTATCCATGGGGTCATTGACGAGAACAGTGGGAAAGGTCTTTTGTACAGCTTTTTGTTGCCCTACGCTGTTTTCTATAGATGATAATGCAGAGAGCCAGATGGATCAGCAGAACACGTCTTTGCTTGGTCTTTGCAAAGCAGAGCATGGCCATGGTGAGATCATCTTTGCAAGCTGCTGTGAAGACCGTGAGCTTCCTGGGAAGCAAATAGAGCATGACTACTTCAGCCTTAGTTTTATTTGGCTTCCTGTGCTCTGAAAGTTCCACATTTTACAGGCTGGTACATTGCTGAAGGCTTTCCAATTAGTATTTTCTTGGCAGCACTCAGCCATCTCAACCAAGTGCTTGGCATAATAGAGGACACTGCCTGACACCTCCATTGCAAAGTGAGAATTTCCCCATGAGTCACTAAACACTCCAAAGACAAACAGGGTACTTCAGAAACAGAAACTTTTGAAACTTTTGTGAACATCCAAAACTACTCAGGGGTTTAATATAGCAGATGGAACCAGTTGTGAAAATGAAAGATTGCAGAAGTGCAAAACTTGCTTCCAGCTTTGGCTATGCTGAGGGGTACTGAGGAGGAACTTCTTGCTGCCTGTGGAGGCATTTTGGTGTCCACAGCACTTCAGTCCTGAGATTCTCTGTGAAGAATGTCAGCAAAGACAACAGCAGTGTGTGGTAGGCTTCTAGAAAGGAAATAGTTGTGCTACCCTTCTGCAGAAGATTAAATCTCTTCTTAAGGAGTCAATAAAAGACATCCTGCCAAAGCAAATCCAGACTGTGGGTCATTCACTGGTTACCCTGAGCACCAGAAAGTGGATACTAGCAAGCCTAGAGGCTTCTTACGACACTTTCCCAAACACTGATTGGTTTAAACATAAGCCAGCTAAAAATCTGGATTTGTAGTTTGAGTGTCTCAAGGGAAATGTTTTTCACATTTAAAGAAAATCTTGATAGTACACAAACAGGTTAATCAGCCACCTGGTAAGTATTTTCAAACTTTCTCTGTAATCAGGAAAACTGATTGCAGGAAAACATCAGAGGCAGGTCTGTGAAGGCTGAGAATTTCTGACAAACTGTTCACACAGCAGACCAAAATGCCAGATGTGAAGGAGGCAAATGACTCTGCTAATCTGTAATTTCATCTCCTCAGCTCCACCACCCATCCCAAGGGTTTCGGTTTGGAACCGTGCGAGAAAGCAGCGCAGAAGACTATGTGAGGCAAAGCTTCCCAGAGATGCATGAGTACATGAGACGGTACAATGTCCCTGCAACCCCAGATGGAGTGGCATATCTAAAGTGAGCCTCTGCATACAACAGCAGATCTGGTCCTTTGACCAGAATGCATGGCAGTGAAATGGTGATGGGTTTCCCACTTTCAGTTTTCCCACTTTCAGTTTCACTTACCCCACAAAACAGTCATTGAAGGGAGTGTGGCAGATGAAGAGGAAAGCATGTAATCACCTGGAGGGAGTGATACTTGGAAAGCAAGCTAGCATAGCACTAGCTGGAGTATTCCCAGGAGAGCAGTGCTTCACACTAACTGCTAGGGTGTGATCAAGCATGGGCAACGTATAAAGCCTGGCATGTTCCTGTGCTTGGGAGCCCTTCATCAAGCAGCAAGAAACATTCAGAAAAAAACCTCACAATCCAAGCAAAAGCTGCAAATGAGGTTCCCCAGCATCTTCAGCATGCTGGGAGGAGAGACGGTTCTTGGAGAGAAACCTAAAGCATTTATCATTAAAATTAATAAAAGAAACATTAGACTGGTTAAAAAGTAATAACCACAAAGTCGTCTTGCTTTGGGGACTAATGGTAGCACTGTGTTTCAGAGACATTTGTGCCTAACAACCTGGGGTCACACAACTGATCTACTCTGCCAGGAAACAGGAGGGGTGATAATAAGCTTGAAATAATTCATTCATTTTACACATAGAAGTTGCATAACAGATGGCTTGAGAATTTTCCACCAGAAGTTGTTTCCTGTTTACGTATTTTTCCCAGACCCATCTTCATGATAATTAAGATACATGGCAGTTTCTCTGAGTTAAACTGGAATCAGTCCATTGAAATCAATGAAGTAATGTAACTTCACACCAGGAGAACACCCAGACCTGTAAGGTGAAAAGAGTGGAGGGTGCAGTCCCTCGATCAGATGAGAATAGTCATAGCAACTGTTCTTTCATATCACCATTTTATGCAAGCATGCTATTCACAAATTATTATGTTATTAAAATTCAGTCCTCTGTGTTCATGAAGACTGAACATAGGGAAAAGCTGATATAGGTGAAGGGAATTAATCTACCTCATATTCAAGGAGAAAGGAGGAGAAACACCTTTGAATGAGTTATTCTCCTGCATTTTTGCTCTAATGTTTATAACTTTAACATCACAAAGAAACCAAGGCAGTGCTAGTATTTTAGCATTTTTTTTATCTTTTCCAATAAAACTTTATGCTACCTTTCAATTGAGTCAAAAGTCTAACATAATGTAGTATTTGCTACCTTTTGGATCAATAGTATTTCATGAGAGCAAAATAAGTCTCATGCCTCACTCTCCTGCTCAAGATGCACAAAGTTTGTATTTCATGCAAATTGCATGTATTTCCTTCATCAAAATACAAATCAGTTCTGCATTATAAATGCAGGAGTGAAGATAGCAGTCCCTGGTCTCTGTTTTCATTCAGTAATCTTCAAGAGAACTACATAGAGAAATGTTCAGCGACCGTCACTGAGTCTCAGACCGTGAAGTGATTCTGTTTCTGACTTTGATGTTGAATACAGGCATGATCCAGAGAAACTCGATGCCTTCATCATGGATAAAGCACTCCTAGATTATGAAGTATCAATAGATGCTGACTGCAAGCTTCTAACTGTGGGAAAACCCTTTGCCATTGAAGGTAATAATAAGTTTTATAATGTACTGTTCTATTTCTCATGTGTTGCATTTGCTTTATTGTGATTTGGTATTCTCAATGAAACTATGCAGGTAAAACTGTGGACCCCTTGAAGATTATGGTAAAATTTTCAGGGATTAAGCAGAATGAAGATTTCACCCTTTTCTTGAGGTTTTTGAGCTTTCAGATCACTTTTACCATCTGTTGCTGTGCTCTGTATAGCAATTATTTAAAGTGCTTAGACAGTCCATCTCTGAACAAGTAGGCTCACTTTAAATACACACGTTCAAAACTCAGTGAAGTATGTTCAAAATGCTGTTCTACAGCTTCGTTCTCATTTGAAGCAGAAAAATACTTTTCCCATTTTAAAGGTCAGCTTAAAATTCCTGCTGAATCTGTAGCTAATGGAAGCTAAAGAAGGGAGCCTACCCTGCTACATAGCCTCCTGCAGCCCTGGTGTATTAACAAAGGACAGGTCAGAAGGCAGCCTGGAGGCTTGTCTGAAGCTGCTTCCAGGATGGGTGAGCACATTAGCAGCTATGAGACTTCAGGCATCACTTTTGTGATATATGGCTAATGAAAATGATTGAAGTGCCCTCTTTCCTCCCCTCCAAGGGCAATCATTCTGGCCGCTCCCATTGCACATTAAAACAACCTCCTTTAGAAATATTCAAACCTGATTGAGGAAGGCAATATGCTAAGTGAAGGCCAGAGGAAGCAGAGCATTTTAATCATTTCAGCTACAAGCTTTTTTCACCAGCAGTAGGCATTTTGTAGAACGCTTCTTTTTGCTATACCTCATCAGTGTCTCCCATTTGAATTCACACCAGAGACCTGAAAGCAATCCATTTTCTTCTCTTCTTTTTGTTATTGGGGAAGATAGATGTGCAAATACCTGTTAGGGAGGGTTTGTGTGTGCTCAGCTGCATGTTTCACTATGTGTGTGAAACTCGATAAATCATCCATTTCAGAAAGGTCAACTCTGCTGAAGTAAGCCATCAGCTTCCACAGCTTCAAATCAAGTCAAGCAGATTTCAATACAGAAAAAAACAAATAAACCCCAAACTGTATGTTTTCACATAACTAGACTGCATATCACCCAATTACAAAACAAATATGCTGCAAATATGGTATCCATGAACCCTAGCTATGCCTTCTCTGAAGCTGTTTCTTCAATGTCAGCAAATAATACATTCAGGTAGAAATACAGGCACAATGCACAAAAGTAAGCAGCAAGGGAGATTTCTGTTGCAGGTACACATATCCCCACATAATTCTGCATCATTGAAAAGCAAACCACTGTGATGGCAAGTTTACCATTCATGTATATTTGGAGGGGGGTGTTCATTTTTTTCCTGTGTTGTTTTGCTGTTTGTTTTATGGGTGGTTTATTTGTTTGTTGGGGATATTTTTTAAAGGAGACAGTCTGAAATTCTGAATTGAAAAAAATCTACAGTGGACTAGAAAGGACTCTTTACAGGCAGTTGGCAGGACATCTCTGCATGCAACTGTATGTCATGTAGGCATGAATAGTGTTTGTTTTTCTAAAGTCAAAACCCAGATTCTGCAGATTTCAAGACCATATAGTTACTGAATCCATTTTCATTTACACTAAGTCCCTTACTGTAATGTGGTAAAAGACAACACAGTGGCTAAAAACTGCATTTATAACTATCTGAAGGTCCATGTCACTGCCAGAGCAGAACTGCGCAAATGGAAAGGATATCCCCTGGGCTTTAAATTACCGTGTAACAGCAATACAGACTGCTCCCATATACGTTTATGTGTATGGGAAGCATGCACATAGCTTCTCATCAGAAAATACATAGGAAGAAAAGAAAATGTCACAGCTGACACCAAATCACATCCACTGCTCTAACAATGTAAAGGGATCACACAGCGGTTTACCTGGCATTAAGGCCCTTTTACATTGCTTAATCAAGATAAAAAAGAAGAACCCATGGCAAGGGCATGCAAAACGCTGTGTTTCTAGAGATAACACAGATTTATTAACCTATCTGCAAGTCCATCTTAAGTTTTTCAGCCTCCAATTTTACATATTATTTCTTTGGCCTTAATAGTTTTGAATTTGTGTATCTTGTTTGAATTAGGTTAGTTTATTTTGCACATCAAAAAGTCTCATCTCATCATTCTCAGTCCACGCTAAGCCAGCATCCAGGTTTCAACTGGCTTGCTGAAAGAGAATGCCAACTTGATCTGCCACGCTGGTATTTGACAGCTGAAATGAACATACTTTAGCAAAAAGCAGACAAGTAAAAGAGAGATGATTGTACTGTTTTTCTTTCTAGGATATGGTATTGGTCTTCCCCCCAATTCTCCGCTCACCTCAAACATCTCTGACCTGATAAGTCAGTACAAGTCCCATGGTTTCATGGATGTTCTGCACGACAAATGGTATAAGGTTGTTCCATGTGGGAAAAGAAGCTTTGCTGTCACAGAGGTAAGTGATGAACTTGGGTCATATAAATAAGGATTTTCTCAAATTGCTGGTTATTTCCCCTCATTCACAATGTGCGGTAGACGTACACACAGAACAGAGATGGGATGCAGCTGAAGTAAAGCATTAGGCTTCAAAAGCAATAGATGCTATGCCCAGCAGCATTCAGATCAGAGCACAAGAAAAACCAGCAAGACTATGCTGCTAAGTTAGGCACATAGAGCATGCATGAGAGAGCCCTTCTGGAGACAAATGGGGCATGTAAAATATTATTAACAGAACTGATCTGGCACACTGCTTAACAGATACATCTCATTCCACTCAGTTATGTGTGTCACCATCCACAGGATCTGTCAGTGATTCTGTACCATCTCACACAGGAGCAATCGCTAAAATCACTAGGACAGAGACCAAAAGGAAGAGCAAAAGAAGCAGAGAGAGTGGGAATTTAGTACATCACAAATTTCTAATATAACCCTGATCACTTCCTAACATGGGTGGCATATACGTGTACCAAAGATAGGACCAACCTAGAAACAGTCCACTAAGATATCATGCCAAGAATAGAAGAGAAGCAGGTCTCACATCTAAGTAGATCTGCCAGAAATGGAAGTAAATCTCCATGGATTTACGTCCTGGTATCAAATCAGAGGAGTTCTGTGAGCTGATGGCAGCTGAAGATGTAGGCCATTATTTATGAGAAAAAGATTCCTCTTACCAGAATAGCAGTTTTTTGTCAAGTCCTCTAGATTGTCAAGGAAATAAAGTACTGAGGAATTAAAAGATACAGCAATGCATGAAGCTTAGAGCATACACTTTTACCTCAAGGTCTTCCAAAAGACATAGAATCATAGAACCATTAGGGTTGGAAAGGACCTTAAGATCACC